CAGCCAAGAGAAGGACCCAGGAGGGTCTCGGTCTTAGGAACCAGAAGGCGGCCTCGCAGGTGCCTTCGGAACCTTCCGGAAGGTTCCAGCACGGAGCGGGACAGGGCTGCCCTCCTTGTTCCGTCTGCTCCACCTGCCCCCCGGCCCTGCTAAGCGTTGGGGCAGACAAAACGCGCTGTCGCCCACAGTCGGCCGTGCCGCTTGGGGAGGGGCGGCTGCCAAGCCAGCACGGGAAAGCGGCGGCACCCACGGGGCGGTCTTCCGATGGGACACCCCGCCCGCCGGTGCTCACGAGGGAAGGGGCCCGCTCGGGCGTGCAGCCCTCGGGACAGCCTCAAGTGGAGGGGGCGCTCTGGGCTGGGCTCCACAGCGCACTCGGTACAGAACACGCTCGGTCGGCCGGCGCTGACACTTACCCGTGAGCTGGTGTCACTTACATTGCATTTTAGTGTGTATGTAGCGTATACACAGTATGCAGCGTACACTATATATATAATTGTATGCTATATAGTATATATACACTATACACTATATAAACACTAATATGTAATTGTATACTACATAGTATGTATACACTACACACTATATATATGATTGTATGCTATATAGTATATATACACTATACGCTATATAAACAATTGTATACTATATAGTATATATACACTATACACTATATAATTGTATACTATATAGCATATATACACACTATATGCATAGTATATATACAGTGTATATATATACTATGTATATATATACTGTATATATATACTATACACTATATATAATTGTATACTATATAGTATATATACACACTATATGTATAGAATATAGTATATACAGTATAGTATATATACACTATACACTATATACACACTATATAAATTGTATACTATATACCTTATATGTATACTATATATACACTAATATATAATTGTATACTATATAGCATATATATACTATACATATAATTGTATACTATATAGCATACATATACACTCTATGCATAGTATATAGTATATACAGTATAGTATATATACACTATATATACAATAATATATAATTGTATGCTATATAGCATATATACACTCTATGTATAATATATAGTATATACAATATAGTATATATACACTATATACTATATATACACTAATATATAATTGTATACTATATAGCATATATATACTATATAGAATATATATACTTATATACTATATATAGTATTTATACTATTAGTATATATATACACTATAGTACATACATAGCATATATACACTATATGTATAGTGGATATATAGTACTATATATACTGGTATATATAGTACTATATATGGTACTATAGTATAGTGTCCTATATGTGTAGTATATATACTATATAGTATATATACTATATGTATAATGTATATACACACATCATATGTATAGTATATACACACACGCTATATGTATATAGTATAGTATATATATACACTATATGTATATAGTATATATACTATATATAAATGCAATACTATGATATGTACCAATATATGTAATACATAATATATTGCAATAACTCTATTGCTATGAAAGTTAACAGATCAATAAAAGGCCGATTCTGCACATATACACGTAGATATTGGCACATAAATGAATTTTTCACATGTATATATGCATGTGTGCACATACTTACGCATTTGGCTATTCTCTTGAATGAGATATAGAATTTCAAGATGCAGAAGTTCAAGTTTGGAAAGGTGTGAACCTAAGAATAGTCACTTCTTTCTGAAATGAGCTGGGTTGTAACGGAACTAGTGACTCTATACCTACAATGAAGATGTTAAAAACTGAATGTGGCTACTACCATGTTGTTTCAAGACCTATGACTCGAGTGCTCGAGAAACAGTTAAATGAAGACGGTCTTCCCTTCAGAATCTGCCTGGCATTCTTGTTGCAGCTTTCTTATGAAGTTGTTGTGAAGCTCATTTACAAATACACCACCCACCAAAATGCTTTGCAAGCACTAAATTTAAAGTATTACCATGTTTCCCCGTAAATAAGCCCTACCCATAAACCAAGCCCCAGCAGGATGTCTAAGCATGTGCGCCATAGAAGCCCCACCCCGAAAATCAGCCCTAGTGATGGGCGTGGCTATGAAAATCAGCCCTAGTGATGGGCGTGGCTATGAAAATCAGCCCTAGTGATGGGCGTGGCTATGAAAATCAGCCCTAGTGATGGGCGTGGCTATGAAAATTAGCCCTAGTGGTGGGCGAGGCTATGAAAATCAGCCCTAGTGATGGGCGTGGCTGCGCAGCGCATCTGCACAACCCATGCATGTCGTCGCGGAGTGGGAAAGAACACGAGCAGCCCTTCTCATCCGCCCCGTGAGAGCTCTAGTGCTCCACAGGAGAGATCGGGGCCAGTGGTTCTAAAGGAAATAGAGTCGCAAGACATTCAGGATGGAATTTGGGGTTTGGAGAGTGAGGATGATGTTCCAGAAGAAGACGACTTCACTCTATTTCAATAAACGTAGATGGTTGTACCGTCCTTAAAAAAAAATAACACATCCCCTGAAAATAAGCCCTAGGGTGTCTTCTTGAGGAAAAATCAATATAAGATCCTGTCTTATTTTCGAGGAAACACGGCATTTCTTTTTTTTTTTAAATAATAAAACAGACTTACGTTTGGACAAGCTAGTAAAGTCTACAGCTGAATTAACCCATTCTTTGTATTTTCACCGGACCACCAGCTATTTTTTAGCACTATATTCAAAGTAGCAGTAGTAATAAAGCAACAACAAAGAGATCCTGTGTCAGCACGTCCCACATGATGGGAGTACTGACATTCATTTCACTGTGAATTAAACACAGTCTCGAGAGATGATATTAAGTTCTGTGTTTGGCTAATACTGGGAATGCCACCGGCCGAGGCAGAATTACATTTGGCTGGCAAAAAGCCAGCCGAACTTCACACTTGTCTTAGAAGTAGGTGGTCAACAACTCCGTTCTTGTCATCAAATCCGCGGGCCATGGTTGCTTACACCATCTGGGTCTGAAAAATCTCGTATCACCCATTTTGAAAATAAAATAAACATCAAGAAACGACCTAAAACGAGGCAAAGACGTACGTACGCGTAACGAACGAAAAAGGTATCGGATTAGCATTGACCGCAGGAAAAAAGCAGGTCCAATCAGAGCACATCCCATAAAAAAATAAAAAAAAAAGAACGGAACTGGATCTTCCAAATGGCATCGTATAGAGCCATCGATTTTTATTTCTTTCAGGAGAAAAAGGGACTCAGAACCCAAGGTAAGGAGAGGACATGCCTGCACAACTTTCTCTCTTTTCTTATAATACATGCTGCATGCACGTTTTCTAGGGTTCACAGGACCATGTTTCAAAAGAAGCCTTCATTTTTTTATTTTATTTTTTTTTTATTAAAAGGAAGCCCACGCTCCCTGACATGTCTGGTTTTGCTGTAATAGTATACAATGCCTCTCTCCAGTAAATTTAACCACGAAAAGTTTTTCTTACATGTGTCTGCACGCTGCTAATTTATAAAAAGGCAGGATGCTGTCAGATAAAATTTCACTAAAATGATCTACAAGCCAGACTGTCAGACGTGAAAAAGGTACTCGGGCAGTACGTGCTTGCACACCCGGGAAAGCAGTCCTGCAACTGCGGTAAAACAAGGTCCTGCAACGGGGCTCACGTGACTCTGATTTGCAAGTGACTGTGAGGTCACAGGAAATCCTGAAATGCTTCCCACATTTCCTTCTGTACATTGCATGTCAAATTTCCTGCAACTGAGATCATAAACCCTCCTACTGCAGGAATCTCTTGTGAAGGAAGGGAGAGCTCTTCTGATATTCCTCCCCACGAGCACCTAATCACTCCATTCCTGCCCGTGGACCAAGAAACTGGGAGACAGAATTGAAAACGGGCTGCCGTAAGGCTGCAACGACAGATGCCCCAATTCCTTCAAGATGAAAACCAAACCGCTCTCATGAAGACAACTCCCAACAGCACACTTAATCTGGCGATAGTGTGCTTTTCTTTAGAATAAGAGATCAGAACAGAAAACGACAGGCTGTCCTAGAGAGAGACTCAACATGTCCCCAAATCTCTCATCCAAAAGGTATTTGTGAAATTACGGTCGAATGTAAAAACAGCATCTTCTACTTAAGGCATTCTTTTTTTTTTTTTTTGAGATAGATTCTCACTTTGTTGCCCAGGCTAGAGTGAGCGCTGTGGCCTCAGCCTAGCTCACAGCAACCTCCAACTCCAGGGCTCAAGCGATCCTCCTGCCTCAGCCTCCCGAGTAGCTGGGACTACAGGCATGTGCCACCATGCCTGGCTAATTTTTTCTATGTATATTAGTTGGCCAATTAATTTGTGTTTTTTTTTTCTTTTTTTTTTTTTAGACAGAGTCTCACTCTGTTGCCCAGGCTAGAGTGAGTGCCGTGGCATCAGCCTAGCTCACAGCAACCTCCAACTCCAGGGCTCTAGCGATCCTCCTGCCTCAGCCTCCGGAGTAGCTGGGACTACAGGCACCGTGCCACTGTGCCCGGCTAATGTTTTTTTTTTCTTTTTCTATTTTTAGTTGTTTGGCTAATTTATAGCAGAGACAGAGTCTCGCTCTTGCTCAGGCTGGTCTCGAACTCCTGACCTCGAGCGATCCTCCCGCCTCGGCCTCCCAGAGCGCTGGGATGACAGGCGCGAGCCACCGCGCCCGGCCTACTTAAGACATTCTTCGCCACGAGATTCCAGCGCCTGACAAACCGTGTTTTACGGTCCTAGCTATGCTTGTGAAAGGGTAAGTCGTTAACATTCCGGTAAAAGAAAACGTTCGGGTTTAAAGCATTCTATCGAGATTTACCAGTCACAACTGCGGAACTTAAACGGTCAAATACCATTTTTGCATTAAATCAACAAGACGAAAAGATCGTGCCGAACGGTGGAAGTTCATCGCTGAAAAGCAACGTTTAGGGCTCTGTTGGAACGGGGGCTAGTAGCATGGTTACCTCTCCCGACATGTCCGGCGCCATGGGAACCGCGGGCCACAGGGACGAGTAGATTCCAAAAAACACCACCCAGAGCGCGATGCTGCCCCAGATTGCAATGTGGCTGAACTGCAGAGCAAGGAAACAGCAGTCAGGTAAACCGAGCACACGAGCAACGACGGACACGTTCACAGATTCTGTGATTACCCTCTTTTTATTTTATTTTTTTTAAATTTCAGGGTTTTTATATGAGGGTGCAAGCATTTTGGTTGCATTTTACATCTTTGCCTCTCCCCAGGGAGGAGTTAGAGGCATGCCCTTCCCCCCTCTGTGATGCTCACCTTTAGTTGTTGAGTTTACACCCCGAACCCCCTAATCCAGGGGTCCTCAGACTTTTTAAACAGGGGGCCCAGTTCACTGTCCCTCAGACCGTTGGAGAGTGCGCACTGTGGGCCCGGGACGAGCCGGCTGCTAAGCAGGACAGGCAGCGGTGGCAAAAACACCCGGCCGGGGATGGATGAATGTGCTGGGCGGCCCGCAAGTGGCCCGAGGGCTGTAGTTTGAGGATGCCTGCAGATCCCTGGGGAATATCACTATCACGTGAGCACCTCAGTGTTGATCAGTCAGTGCCAATTTGATGGCGAGGACATGTGGAGCCCATTCTTCCAATCTTGTGATACCTCACTTCGGATAATGGGCTCAAGCTCCATCCAGGAAAATATAAGAGGTGCTAGATCATGGTCATTTGTTTGTTTGTTTGGTTCCTCCCCTTTCCCCTTCCCTTCCTTTCCCTTTCCTTCCTTCCTTCTCTGTCTCTCTTTCTTTCTTTCTTTTTCTTTCTTTCTCTTTCTTTCTATCTCTCTCTCTTTTTTCTCTTTCTCTCTCTTTATTCTCTCTTTCTCTCTTTATTCTCTCTCTCTCTCTTTATTCTCTCTCTTTCCTCTCTCTCTTTCTTTCTTTCATTTATTTATTTAATGACTGTCTCACTCTGTCACCCGGGCTAGAGTGTCGTGGCATCAGCCTGGCTCACAGCAACCTCACACTCCTGGGCTCAAGCGATCCTCCTGCCTCAGCCTCCCAAGTAGCTGGGACTACAGGCACACGCCACCATGCCCGGCTAATTTTCTCTATTTTTAGTTGTTTGGCTAGTTACTTAGTTTTAGTTGTTTGGGTAATTTTCTTTCTATTGATAGGAGAGACAGGGTCTGGGTCTTGCTCAGGCTGCTCTTGAACTCCTGAGCTCAAGCAATCCTCCCTCCTCGGCCTCCCAGAGTGCTAGGATGATGGGTGTCAGCCACCGGGTCTGGTCCTTCTTAATACATTATTGAATAATGTGAGTATCCCAGGAAGCCGGGAGACTTGCGAACTTGTTTGACTACAGATCTTTTCTTAAGAGGTGTCGCAGACGGGTATTCTGCAGAAAACCCGTTGGTTTCGCTGGTTTCGCTTGAGCCCAGGAGTTGGAGGTTGCTGTGAGCGAGGCTGACGCCACGGCACTCACTCTAGCCTGGGCGACAGAGTGAGACTCTGTCTCAAAAAAAAAAAAAGAAAAAGAAATTAGCTGAACACTAAAAAATATATAGAGAAATTAGGCGGGCATGGTGCGCATGCCTGTAGTCCCAGCTTACTGCGTAGGCTGAGGCAGGCAGGATCGCTTGAGCCAGAGGGTTGAGGTTGCTGTGAGCTAGGCTGACGCCACCGGCACTACTCCTAGCCTGGGCGACAGAGTGAGATTCGTATACTCAAAAAAAAAAAAAAGAAAAGAAAAAATATCATAGCAACACCACACACACACACACCACACACACATAAAGGCTCTGAGAAGTCTATCTTATCGGTAAACGAGTTTAACTTTAACTGCAGTGTTCTCGCGACTAGAATCCTAGCTCACCCTACACTCTGACACCCCATACATTAGACAAGCCTGCAAACTAGGATACAAGGACAGACTAAGAGTGAACAATACCAAAAAGCTGGAGCGAACGGCGATTAAAACGATGTGACATTCTGGCTGTCATCAGAGATGCTCTTTGTACTCCCACAGCAAGTTGGTATTAACTGATCAACACCTAGGTGGACACATAGGACTAACATCTATCGGTGTTGGAGGGAGGGGAGGAGGGGATGGGTTACAACACACGAGTGATGTGCAACGTTTGGCGATGGTCATGCTTGAAGCTCAGCATACAGAGGGGGGAGGGGGGATGGGCAATATAAGTAACCTTAACACTTGTACCCCCATAATACGCTAAAATAAAAAAAGAAAGATGCTCTTACCCACGTCCAGTACGAGGTTTCCAGGCCAGCTTTCAAACACACAGTTATCACCACAAACTGAAACAGAAGGGAACATGACACTCGATTTCACAAACAACGACAGTTCATCGAATGACTCAGGGTGGGATGTATAAAGAACAGATGAATCCAAATTAAATCCTGGGACTACCGTGCTTCCCCGAAAATAAGACCCACCCGTAAGACAAGTCCCAGCAGGATGTCTGAGCATGTGCGCCATAGAAGCCCTACCCCGAAAATTAGCCCCAGTGATGGGCGTGGCTATGAAAATCAGCCCTGGTGATGGGCGTGGCTATGAAAATCAGCCCTAGTGATGGGCGTGGCTATGAAAATCAGCCCTAGTGGCGGGCGTGGCTGGGCAGCGCATCTGCACAACCCATGGGTGTCGTCGCGGAGCGGGAAAGAACACGAGCAGCCCTTCTCATCCGCCCCGTGAGAGCTCTAGTGCTCCACAGGAGAGATCGGGGCCAGTGGTTCTAAAGGAAAGAGAGTCGCAAGACATTCAGGATGGGATTCGGGGTCTGCAGAGTGAGGATGATGTTCCAGAAGAAGACGACTTCACTCTATTGGAATCAACGTAGATGGTTGTATTGCACTTAAAAAAAAATAACACATCCCCTGAAAATAAGCCCTAGGGCGTCTTCTTGAGGAAAAATAAATAGAAGACCCCGTGTTGTTTTCGGGGAAACACGGTATTAGACCATTGTCTGCTCGCTTTGTGTGTCCAAAAAGGTGAATTAGCCGAGCAGCTAACGGCAGGATATCTTACGGATAGCAATTTAGGGTTAATATCTGTAGAAATAAAACTTATTAGAGTACAAAAATCAATTAATTTAGGGTCTATAAAACGTTCTCTAAAATGAGATTTAGTTTGACATAACCTTCAACACCCTTTCTGAGACCTGTGTCCCTAGGGGACATCCAGGATACATACTCTGATTTATTTTTATCTCCTCTGCTGAGTATCTGCTCCTTTCCGTTTTCCCTCTCGTGCTGTAAGAGAACAAGCCCCCAGTCTCCTCGAAGGTTCTTTTGCTTTTCTTTTAACTATTACCCCAGGGTTGATGTCCACAGAAAGGAGACCGCCCCCTGGATGTGCTAGAACCTTCATCCCCGTGTGACCTGGAGGTCTTGACCGCCTGTCCTTCAGTTATCTGAACAGCGGATATGTAAACGCCGTGTGACAATTTTCCCCATCTTCCCTGAGTGTGCCGCACGGTCAGCCTCCTGCTTCTAGAGCAGGTGCCGCACGGAGAAATGAGGACGGGCATGGACAGAGAGACCAGGGCCCCGGTCGGAAAGTTCAGGGGTCGAAGCTTGGAGCAAGCTTTTTGTCAGACACCAGCTGTGCACCCTCGTGCATGAGCGTTCTAGTGGTCTTTTAAGGGGAAAAGGGGTTCAAAAACGTATTCCGGCTCTTCGGTGGAGACGAGGAGGAGAGCTGGACCCATGTGTGTGCATGGTCCACGGCGCTTAGAGTGGTGACCCCCAGTGGCCCCACGCCTCGAGTGGTTAAACGTGCCCAACGCCAACGAGCTTTCCCCCTCTGGTTTCGGTTATCACAAACTCCAGCATAATCACTGGTGGTTACACACCCAAGAACACTTCGATGGCATTTGCCATAAATCCAGGAAAGCAAGACAATACTAACGATGGTGGTCATGCAAAATTGAGGAGAAAATGAAAAGGGAGGAAAAAAAAACAACAAAAACAGGGTAGTAAGAGCCAAGAGAAAATACTGAAAACAATAGCAGTCGAATCCCTTTAAAGTTGGTGAACCCAAATGAGATTTTAAAAACCTAATATAAAAGTCTCTTGAACAGTCAAAACACAGTTGTTCTGTCTTTCAAAGGCATGGCAAACAACTCTTAAACCCAGAAATGCATGCATTTAAATTTTAAAATAAAGTAAAAGCACAGAGGAAAGGCTTTGATTTTGCATGCAGATGGGGCCAAAGTCCCGCACTCACAGTGTAAACGAAGTTTCCCAGCAGAAGATAATCCGAGGTTTTCCCATTTCCGAAGACTGTACCTGTAAGGAAAAGAAGAGAGGAAAATGTCAGAAAGGAAAACGAGATTCTTTCGGAAGTCTCATGAAGTAACTATAAAACAGTCCACGAATTAAAAACAAATTTCCAGGCTGGGAATGATGGCTCACGCCTGTCATCCTAGCACTCTGGGAGGCCGGGGCCGGAGGATCACTTGAGCTCAGGGGTTCGAGACCAGCCTGAGCAAGAGTGAGACCCAGGAGGTTGAGGTTGCTGTGAGCTAGGCTGACGCCACGGCACTCACTCTAGCCTGGGCGACAGAGTGAGACTCTGTCTCAAAAAAAAAAAAAAGAAAAAAAATCATATATATATATATATATATATATACACACATACACATATATAAAGGGCTCTGAGAAGTCTATCTTATGGTAACCAGCTTAACTTTAACTCAGTGTTTCCCGACTAGAACTCCTAGCTCAGCCCTACCACTCTGACACCCCATAATTAACAACCTGCAAACTAGGATAAAGGGACAGACTAAGAGTGAAAAATAACCAAAAAGCTGGAGCGAACGCATAAAGCGGTGTGACATTTCTCGGCTGTCATCAGAGGTGCTCTTTGTACTCCCCAGCAAGTTGGTATTAACTGATCAACACCTAGGTGGACACATAGGAGTAACATCTATCGGGTGTTGGGAGGGTGG